TGCCTGAAAGAGATCACTGGTGATTTTCTGTAGCTGTTGTGGGAAGCATGTGAAGAAATCGCTTGAACTTGCAATGATGGTGACTTAGGCTGCTTGAAAAGACTTTTTAAATTGTAGCGTATTCAAATAGGTGCAGCTTTTTAAGAACAGGTTGGATAGATGCCTTTTGGGGTAGTCAAAGTCAGAGGCTGTTCCCTCTTCCTGGCACTGAGCTATATCCCAAAATCTCCCAGAGCTTCCAGATGCTGTCTTGGGCATTCAAGGGCAGGGAGAGTCCCAAGTGGAATATGATACTTGTTTTTTAGGAGCCCTACTGCATTGCATTTGGTGTTAGATTGTGTACGTGTCTGTTGCCTTTCACAGCACAAAGCTGCCTTGACCTCAGAAGCATCTCCAGGGTTCCCTTCTCTGCAGCTGGTCGTCCCTGGGACCCGGTAGCACAGTCCTATTGTTAAACCAAAGCCAAGAAAAAGACACAAACCGTTGTGTAGGACCTTGGATTAAACTGTTTGCAAACCACTGGTTCTGTACTTGTGGCACAACTCATTTTGATCATGTTTGAGTGCAAGGAATTAGACTGGAGAATCTCTTGAGGTCTTTTCTAGCCTAATACCTCTATTTGGCTTTTCAAAATGTGCTACTCTTAACGGGTAGGAGCAGGAATTATTCCTCAGGCCTTAATTAAGTAGTATGAAAGTGCAGAACACAAAGATGGTTATTGCTCCTGGTTTTAAGGTGAGCAACAGCTCAGTAAATATGAGCATGAAGGAACTGAATTAGTCCCACAAAACAGCAGTGCTTGGTAAGATAGCCGATAACTTCTAAAGACATTTATTTTGATAGGTGCCATTGCTACATGGAGCTAGAGGCGGGGATTTGAAGGCAAGTGATAGCAGAACTTTCTAGTGATTTGTGGTACCTTTGCTGTATTATAATGTGGTTTTGTAGACATGACGTGTATTTTTTGCATATGTATTTGCTAACTTGTATCCCTGTTATTGCAAGAGGTCTTTACTCATCTAGTTACTTACTGACTATTTGTTTCAGGTATAACTTGGGTGCTGGTATACCGAACAGACAAATACAAGAGATTAAAGGCTGAAGTGGAAAAACAGAGCAAGAAATGTAAGTACTTTTAAGGCATTGGAGAACATGTCTTGCTGCTCTTGTTATATTGTGCTTTAGCAGATGTCAAATTGAATAAAGTCTGTGCTCTGAGAATTTCCTGCTGCCTCTTCTGCTGAGGGAGAGAACTTTCTTCAGCTTGGATTTCATAGGAGCCTCATTTTACAAGTTACACAAATCCGTGCTGAGGGGACTTATTTCTGTCCTTGTCTTTTGCTGGAGGGAAGGTTAGTACAAAGACCTGTTGCGTTGTCTGAATTGCCCCCCCTCTTAATGGAGGGCAGGAGGCAGTAAGAGATCAGTACTGGCGTCTTTTTTTCTAAACATGAGTAGCCAGTGTCTGTATATGTAGATTCCTTTAGATGCCTAAAATAGGTTCAGAGATGCAGTTTCTGCTTTTCAAGGGCAGTGGAGAATTTGAGATTTATAGTAAGAAAGAACTAATGGATACATGAGAGGCAAGCGTAATACGTAAAGAGTAAAAGTGATGATTAATGGTGGATGATGGGTAAAGACAAAGCCATGATAGAAAGGTCTGAGCCATCAGCTGATGTAAAAATAAACTATATGGAAACAAATGGAGTTGATTAGAAAAAAATCCCAGGTAACTTCCATAGAGAGGAGATCTGAGAGGCCTGGGAGGGGTTGAATGAATGACGAGGGAGGGAGAGAAAAGGGAGCAGAGGGTGAGCAGTCAGAAGATACGCATCAGGCATTAAGAGGAATGGTAAACCGGACAGTCTGAGCATGGAGTGCTTCAGTGGACCTAGCTGTATCAGAAGCCAAGGAGCAGAGGAGAAATTCATGTGATCTTTCAAACTCAATTGTATGTGCCCTACGCAAGTTGCAGCAGGAAGAGACAGCACACAAGAACTAGGGCCAAACCTGAGTGGTTTTACCTTAAAAATGTTTCACCATGATGCCGGCGCTCTTAGTGCATGAGAGAACAGTATTATCAAAGAGTGCTCTTTCCAGTCTAGCTTATTCCAGCCTTCCCCTGGGCAAAATAAACTGAAGAGTTGAAGTATAGTCATGCTTGTGTGTCAGCTCCTAAATTAGGGGCCTTTGTCATCACAGCAGTATCAGATGGGGATTGCATCTCTGCCTGCCTTTCTTTAATCCCACTTGGCTGACAAAAAACGTGTAGGCTAGAATTAGCCCCAGAAGAGCAAGTTAGAGAAGTAGTTGAAACCCAGCTGAAAACTTAAATGTCCTAGTGTGTTTGTGCTGTGGAGTTTAATGCTGTTTGGTTTTTGTAGCTCTCCTGATATGCAGGCTATAATTTGTGATGGGAAAGATGTGAGGTTCATGCATCTCAATTAGTTTCTAACTTCCTTATTTGATTCCCCATGTCCAATAACAACAACAAAAAAGTAGAACAGAAAAAAAAATTGCTAAAAATTCAGCTTGGATTCCCACCTCCCTGCCTCCAAGGACAGCTGGCTGACCTGATGGCTTACAGACAACTTGCAAAGTAGACCACTTGAGCCACACCTCTCAACTGTTACCTAACACATCTGAAACAGGAAAAAAATACATTTGAGATCTTTAAGCTGTCCCATGAGAATCCTAGCAATCCTTAGTATTTGCAAAAACAGATGGGCTGAATAGTGTGCTTGAGCAGGCGTTGTTACTCATAGTCCTTAGTTTCCTCTCTTGCTGTCCTCTCATTTCTGTTGAGAGGCGCAGCATTGTCTGAGACTGCTGCAGAGATTATAGTAAGTGTTCTGGGGCAAATGTAGTGGTAAATTTGCAAGGCTGAAAGCTGTCTCTAGAATTGCTGCTGTGTTGTCATGTGTGTTCCCACAGACAGGTTTGCGAGACTGCCTGACAATTATTTGTTCTGCTCAAACCATAACAGAATTAGGGCTGTAGAGTTCCTGGGTGTGGGCATAAGGCTCAATAGTGTTATCGAGAGTGAAGCTGGGGGCTGGGAGCAACAGGTAGGCCTGAAAAGAGTCAAAGTGTTCTCCAGTTGGGTTTAGAGTTGGGGGCCATGGCATTATGTGGACTAGGGTTGGGATGGACTGATCAGGATCCCCCAGCTGGATTTGGCGTGAGGAAGGTTATGGAGCAAGCATTCTGTGAGTACTGGGCGTGTTGTGTCATCTGGCACCTCTCTCCAGCATTCCCTCTGAGCAGACTTCCCTGTTTTTTCCCCTTGTGCTAGCCTGCCTATCAGAGATACGCTTGTTCTTTGGAAAAAAACCCAGTGTGTCACTACATTACCGCAGAAGAGATGATGTTTAGGTATCTTGTCTGGGCTAGTGTGGTTTTCTTGGCGGTTATGACTGACTCGCGTATCACAGACACTTCAGAAAGCAGCACTACAAATGCTTGTGTGACTTGGAAGGCTGACTGTATTGCACCTGCTTTGAAATCAAGGATAGAATATCTGTGCTGAGCTAGTACTTCATATGGGAGAAGAGTCCTAATGCTCAGGTCTCTAAGCTGCTTATATGAGCTAACAAGGAGCCAAGTCTTTTCATTGGTAGAGTAGATATGGTACAGATACATGGAGTTTAGAATGAAGAGGGACTGCTGTCTGTTGTTAGACCATGGTCATGCTTTATCATCCTCACTTGTTGTAGTACTCTTGTTATAAGTCTTAAATTAAAATGTCTCTTACTTCATGGAAGAGCTCTTCTAGCTGTCAGCAGAAGAGCATTTGCAGATGAGCAGCCCATTTACTGCGTTACAAGTTCACTGTGCTGGCTTTGTTAGCCTTTTTTGCTGCAGTGGTAGTTGTTTGCAGATGCTTGGTGAGCGTCTGATTTGGGGTTTTAGTAACTTAGAGCTTAGGCTTCTACTTTAAAGTATTGGAAATGCTTCAGTACTAATTAATTGAAGAATGGAGAGGCTGTGACCGACTGCTTGGACAGCATTTCCCCTGAGAATGCCTGCCTGTGAAGAAGGGATGTATGAGAACACAGGCTTTCCTGTATTCTGCTTCCCACTGCAGATAATCGGGAGCAGAGCTTGCCACAAAGCTCTTTTCATTACACTTGCTGAATCAAAAGTACTGTCTAGTACTAATGACAAATCAGCAAGGGTCATTTGAGCCAAAACTGTCCCCAGACTGCTCAGTTAACAATGTGATGGGCTCTTGACAGAATTTAAAATTAACCCTTTAAGTATTCTGATACCTCGTCCAGGGTTTTGATTTTTTTAAATTATTATTTCTAAGTGTTTGATGGAGTCAGCCTTGGTGGTTTAAAATTTATTGATTCTAAATATGTTCTCAGTCATACTCAGCTTCCTTTTGTGCCCTGTTCTCTAAAGAAATAAAATGTTTTATTTGGTGTGTGGAAAAAGGGTGGTGGCGTCCCTGTGCAGAAATGATGGAATATCTTTTCGCTTGGCAGTGGAAAAGAAGAAGGAGACGATAACTGAATCAGCAGGCCGACAGCAGAAGAAGAAAATAGGTAAGACTGGTAGAGGAGTGCAGTGTCCCAAGAATGGGGGGAAGTTGAGAAGCCTATGGAAGTGATTATCCTTTCCTTCCTTTCAAAACTACTTATTTAAAGTGGTACTAGAGCTTATTCTTGGCCTGATGACTGGAATATGAACACTTCTGCCATACTGTTCCAAGACAGGAGATTTCTAGCCTCCTGATGGTTTTAGTCAAATGCAGAGAAGGGCAGCGTCACTGGGAGGAGCAGCACTTCTTACTGAACTGGTTCCCTTTCTCTCCAATTTGAGCCTTTATATCCATGACTGTTACTAACTTCTGTTGACAAAGCTCTTCGCTGCAGTGCACTGTCAGCTTTCAATAGCTATATGACTGTGATTTTTTTTGATCTTTCATTTTTTTCTGATTTGAACACTTCAGAGCTGAAGGTGTTTGCATGTTAACTGTAACTGTGCTTAGATTTATTTCAAGTTTGATAAATTAGTTTTGCTCAATGTTAAGTAGTGGGTTTTTTTTTTACATTTTTTAAATTGTCGATAAGCTTAAGTCTTTCTGGGTAAAAGTAACTCTTAAGTACTGAACTATACAAGAACAAGGTGGTAGATGTTTAATGGACATCAGCTTTAGAAAGTTCTGTTATCTGCAGGACTCTGAAGTAAAACGTGCAGCAAAGCTCAGTTAAGTTATTACAGAAATCGTGGCAGGAACATTTCTGAGAGCTCCTGGGAGTTGGTTTCCTCATTCCTCTGTAACACCAGGTAGCTGGATTAGTCATTTGATCTGTACAAAGCTTGGGAATAATTATAAACATATCTTCAAACAGTTCTTCCTAGGTATAAAACCTGTTATCACTAGACTCTTGAAGGAACAGGAGCCAAAATTCTTCCTCTTGTGCGTTTTTGGTTGCTAATATTGAATAATGCCTGCATGGGATGAATACCACTTGGTGGATAAGGCAACTTTTTAATATTACGTACTGTTGTTACATACGGTCACTTTTCAATGTGGTGTTGCAGGGCACCATCCAAACTATATTCCTAGCAGAGAATATTTTACTTGTGCTTTGGACTAAACTAATAAACAGTAGAATCTGAGGAATTCAGATGCTCCACCAATTTTTTTATACACTGAAATAATCTTGTTTTGCAAATGAAAAACAAAGCACAAAGGAACTAAGAACGGAACTTAGGAAATGACCACTGATTTTGTTTGCTGTGATGCTTGCTGGCCAAGCCTAAGATACCAAGACTGATTTTTGTTTTTGCAAGTGCTGCATAACTTCAGTGTCATTTGTTTTGAGGCGTTTTCAGTGTTTCTGAAAAATCAGTCTGTAAATGTCAAGCTGGACATCCCAAAAATGACTCTCAGCTGTTAACTGCTTCTGAAATCTCTGATCCCAGTAACTTGTGCTGGAGTTCCTTTAAATTCTACCATAAGTCACAGCTGTGGTACACACCTGCCTTGGTTGCCATTCTGGTTTGTGCACAGAATAAGGCAGACGGTCTGTGTATGATATTAATTACTTGGTTACGTAAGGGATGAATCATGCATATGCACAAGGAGGTAGGGTGAAAGTTGCATGGGAAGGCTTGATTTGGTGTTTCCTATTTATCAAACTTTTTAAGTAGAGAATGAGCCAACTTCAGTCACATTGTGTCTAAATCACCTTTCGTACTGCTGGAACAGGGCACCCTTAACATCATGGTGCAGCCTTCTGCCTTTTCAGCTTAAGGAGTTGTTAGCTTAAACTTTGCTACTGCTTTCTGTGTCCATGTGTCCCTAGAAGAAAAGACAGTGACGTTCCCAGGAGCCCACGAGTGCTATGTAGACAGCAAACCAGAAGCAAACCAAAGAAACAGTGCTAGCAAATAATATTATTGCTGTATCCTCATGGTTTGTGTTCCACTGAGCGGAATTAGATGATTTTGGACTCCATGGTGCTGCTTGTTGACCCACTGCTCTTTCTCTGTGCCTCTACCCAGCTATCTAGCAGAGTACTTAAATGCTGCTTATGTATGACTTGGGCAGGAATAGACCATTTATGTAAGGTGGTGGGACACCCAGAGCCTGTTTGTTTCGAATTTATAGAAATGGGTGAGAAACAGGTCAGGTGTATTGGGGGATCAGGGCTGTATTCTTTATCCCTATGTAACCTTTAGCCCGTCTCGATAGATGGTTAGTTATGTAGCAGAGGGGAAAAAACAAGTATTTGTGCCAAATGTGATTCCTAAAGAGCTGGCCTGTGGTTGCTGAAATTGCCCAGAACAAAACTCTTCACCTGGATCAGGAAGCAGGTGTCTGGAAAGTTACTGCCAGAGGGGAAGGTTAGTAGTTAGGTGCAATTGAAAACAGCAATGAGGATTCTAAGAAATTGGATAGGGGTGTTGCTGTTGCTTTTCATAACGCATACTGCAAATCCCTGTATTTAGCAGGGGCTTGAAAGATAACTGTTGAGCTTCTGTGCTGTGGGCCTCTTGTACTGAAACTTCAGCAGGGATCCGCTGGACAACTCACATGCTGAACAGCCTTTGACAGTCCTTCTGCATCCCCTCCTCTCTTCACTCGCACTGTTCTTTGGCTATTTCTGCATTGTCCACTTCCTTACTTCAGCTAGGTGTTGCTTCCAAGGCCTGGCTGCCCCTCTGGATCCTCAGTCTGAGAGGAGCACAGTGGACAAGGGACAAGATGGTGACAGGTGGCGGATAATGCTTGAGGCCAGAGCAGTCCTCCAGTGAGGGGCATGGAAAATTCCTTCCCAGAAAACTGGGCATCTTTGAAATTTGTCATGACTTAAGGCCACACTAAATTTCCAAAGTAGTATTTTGAGAGTATTCTCTGCAAAGCATACTGTTACACACACTACTAAAATTACTGTAGAAAACATCTTTCCTCTTTGGAGAATCTTTTAGGTGTGACAAGGGTCCAAAAGTCATTACTAAGACCAGCAGGATGTTAGCCTGGCTGAGGTGCAGCTCCCAGCTCTGTGTGCGGTTTTGGAGTCCCTTCTGATGCTCCAAAATGAAATGCTTATGTAATGTATTTATAATGGTGAGCCTGGTGTGCAGTAAATTGAGACTGCTCTCTTTCGGAAGTGTGATATAGAGGCACTGTCTTTGTTTTCTGGCAACAGTGCTCGTGCTACTGTGTTAGTTGGTTGAGTTAGCAAATTTGACATTCTATGCATTTCTTTCAAAAGTGCTGAATGCATGATTCTAGCCTCCTTCTCTTTTGTGCCTGCTTTGCTGCATGTTGCTGTGGTGAAGCAGTTGGCTATGTACAGTTTTTCAGTTTATACTGTCTGCCATAGAGAGCTGGAGGTGGTTTTGGATGTGTTAATTTGTTTAGAGTGCCAAGAAGGTTAAGTATTGCTGGAAATGAAATCACTCTGATAACTGGTTATAACTGTTGTTGGTTTTGTCATTCCAGAGAGACAAGAAGAGAAACTGAAGAATAACAACAGAGACTTGTCAATGGTAAGAAAATTAAAGCCAGTTCCCAACTGCTGAAGATTTTGGTCAGCTTTCCAATGGAAAGACTTTGTTCAATTGGCAGATATAGCGGCTTTTCCTCCTGACAGGTCCTTCTGGATTATCTCTAATAGCTGCAGATTTTTAATATGAGCCACAGAGTTCTCCAGCAGTTACTGCCTCATCTCATGCCCAGCCTTAGTTGTTTTCATTTTTATAAGTCTCTGTGATGTTTTCAAAGTAGAATTGCTTTGTCTGACTTCCTCTTGTAAGTTCTGTCTTCATAATGATCCCCTGCTGGTTGGTTGTATAGGCTTAAGGAAAAAAAAAACAACCTGTGGAAGGTAACAGGACAATTCTTGAGCACTCCCCTGCCAAGCAGCTCTTCACATCAGTGGTCCATTTCTGTGGCTGCCTTTATACCCAGCTGTTGACCAAACTTCTCTTTGGGAGTTCTACAGTCACTTCTACAAACCCTCTGACCTTCTGGGTCATCTTTTTTCCTTCTGGATTCCAGTGATGTTGTACAAAGCGTGTTCTTAAGGGTATGAGCCCATAATCCCTCGGTGTAGCCCTGTTGTTTTGATTGTCTCTGACCTTTCCGCTTGCAGGTTCGGATGAAATCCATGTTTGCCATTGGCTTCTGCTTCACTGCCTTGATGGGAATGTTTAACTCCATGTAAGTGTCAACTTATTGGGTTTTTCTTAAATTTTCATGGTGAATATATTTTCCACCTTCCCTCTATCACCTGAAGTGTTACAGTGTCAGAATCCCTACCAGAACCATAACTAATCTGAGTAAAATGGATCAGTGTTTCATATGAAGATGTGGTTGTTTGGTTACCATACACACGTTGTGCTCAAGAGGGAACCCTGCACGCTGGATGTATCAAATTGAACAAACTACATGTAATCCAGACAACTCCAACATTCTTTCTGCTTGGGAACATCTTGATTAGGGCAAGCTTGGTAGATGTCAGGGCAGCAGCTACAATCTTCAGCTGCTTTGGCTTCACTATAATAGCGTGACCAAAGAATGCTCTCGCAAGCAAAACTGGGTCAGCTCCCTTGCCCTTAGAAATAAGCTATAATTGCAGAGTTTGTCGCCCTACTTAAGGTGATCAGAGTCAAGATACTAACAGGTCCAGGCTTGGGTTTTTATCTTCCTTTGCTTTAAAAATGACCTGAGATAGGTCTGGTTTAAAAAAAAACAAAAAAAAAGGCCGAACTGGTTTGCATGGTTATAAACAGCTTTGTTTCAGACCTGCAAAACTGAAAGACTGATTAGCTTTTAAAACTTGATTCAGTCTTGAAATGTGAACTTCCCATTGGCTATTAAATCTGAAGATGACATGAGTATGGTTAGTATAACCTCTGGGAGGCTGCTTAATATCTGGGCAAGGTACTTGTCCTGCAAACCGGAGTTTATGTTCTTGGGCACCAAAACCTTTGGCCTTTGTACTAGCAGTCCCCAGGATACAGTCTATTGTTGTTTTACTGCAGATCTGTGGGTGGATAAATTGCAAACAGGGGGTAATAACAGAAGTGCCACTGTGTGGACTCTTTATTTATTCAGCTTAGTCAGACTTCAGCATCTAGCATTCTGTGGAACACTGTGAAACTGAGCAGAGGAACACAGCGCTAAAGAACTTTAAAATTTTGGTACAGTCTTGAGTCATTGATGTCTCATTTCACTGGAGCCCTGAGCAGGGATGGAAGTGCATCATGAGTCATGTGCCCAGCAACATAGTGTCTGTGTGGGATTTGTGGTGCTGCACCTGCGGCCTTCCAAGTGCTTGCCTAGCTGTTTGGGTGCAATACAAACACCACCCTGAAACAAACTCAAAAGCAACCCTACTCTGCCCACTTTCCTAGAGTGGGAAGAGGCAGTTCAGAGTATGCTGCGGCTGGTAAGTGTTACAGGACTGTAACTTCATTAAGAGATTTAGGAAGGAATTGATTTTGGTTAAATCCTGTGTGGCTCCTCCTTCCATATATATCGACCTGAAAAAAAAACAGTTTATTGGTTTCTTCTCCTTTAAGACAACCAAGCTTGCTTGTCTTACTCCTCTTTTGAGGATTCCTGCCCACGGAGACCACGCTACAACCCACAGAGTTGACACAAAGCTTTTTGGGCATATATTTCCTTTAACTGTCCCTTTCTGTAAAGGGAAACTGAACATGAACAGCAGGAGTATCCAGAGAGCTCACTGATTGTTTGAATTGAAATAGCTTTCTTGCTAATGGCTGAGGCTATTGAATTAAAATCTAAAGGTTTGACTGTCTTGCCTTTGGGGCTAGCTAGTTAAATTTTGCTCCCGATATCAATACAAAGTAGCTAGTGCGTTTGTATCTGTATGGCAGCTCTAGTGGGTTGTACTTGCACTGTTTGAAGCTGATAAAATGGTTTGATGGAGCTGGTACTGTCATTCTCTTGATATGGCATAAAGAGCAGCTGCTTGTCTCGGGAGGAGATTACTTCAGTTATGAATTCAGGAGGCTCTTAGGCTCCCTCTGGGAAGCTGCTACTGCCAGGTCATCCATGGAGACCCTGTGGGTGTGGTATGAAAAGGAGGAGAAGGGTGGCTGACACCTGCAATGGCTGTAGCCTCATTTGCTAGTCTTTCCTGTTCTTGAATGAGTTCATTGCTTTGTGGGTCAAAAGGAGCAGGAATTGCATGGAAGTAACATGATGTGCCAGCCTTTGGACAAGTACTGTGCAGACGTTGCTACTCTGTGGCTGGGTACCTCATTTGCCGAGTGCCAGCTTAGCCAAAATGGAAATTACTGTGATGACTGGCTCTCCTTAGAGCGTCAGTAGTAATGGGGCAGCAGGGTGGACCGTGCTAGAATGATGTGTGTCAAGGCGGCTGGTTTAAACCCAAAGAGGAGAGTGCTGTGCTGAAGATCGGCAGCTGAGTGACTGTTGTGGTGTAAAAGGTATGCTAGGACAGCAAGATCTGTAGTGATGGTGGCCCCCAAGCAGATGGAGTTTCTCCTGGAAGAGAAAGCGACTTCTGTGTGTCTCCGTTTTCTCTTGTCAGAAACTTCTTGATGCAATCAGTTCTTGGTCTTACTCAGAGTTGTACATTTCAGTACCCCTTCACGGTAACTGTGAAAACCTGATGGAATTAAAAGCAGGTACCTCGTGGTGCTACTGCTGAAGTACTTGTCATTCTCAC